CCGACAACACTGACCTCGGCCCGGGACACGGTATCGAAACGAATCCGCAAATCGCCGATCGCCGGGGAGCTGGGATCGTCACCGATGTAGAAGCCGCCGTTGGCGACGATCGCCGACTGGCGTACCTTTTCGGTAGCTCTATCCAGCTCCGTCTCGCCGACCCTGAGAGCTTCGGTCTTGCTCAGCTTGCCGACAAATCGAGAGCCGAGCATCCAATCCCCGATGACGATGGGATCGGCGGCGAAGCTTTGGCTGGAATAGGCCATGGACGAGGGATTCTGATGACCGGAAGGCTCCTCGAAACGGCCTGAATCGATGACTTTAGACGACCACTTCTTCTTGTAGCTATAGGTGGTCACGGTTTCGGTGCTGCCGCCCGTATTCTTCTTTTTTTTCGATTCTTTTTCCTCGTGCCACTGGTACATCTCCACTCGGCGATGTAGCTTCAAGGCGTCGGATTGAACGCCGAAGACCGGATCGTTGACCGGTTCAAAGGCGTCGGTTTGGCCGGTGAAGTGCACCAGGCTGCCTTCGTTGCCGGAGCTCGGCCCCGATGCAGCCACGGTGATCACGGCCGCGGAGCCTTCCGCCAAGGCTTTGGCTCGTTTGACAGCTCTTCCTTCCCCCCAGAACAAGAGTCCAATGCCGCCGAAAACCATCAAGATTCCGACGATGATTCCTTTGAACGACCCTCCAAGGCGCTCCCCCCAGCCTTCGCGTGTGATCCGTGTGACTTGGTCCACCATAACTGATTCCTCTAAGTCAGGCTCCTCCAGAGCTCATTCCTCTAAAACAGGCTCCCCTAGAGCCCAGACCTCAGGTTGTTGATTTCCTTCATAATAACTCGTGTTTAGGGCCACTGCGATCCACCGCAATGGGGGAGTGTACAATCAACGGGTGAATCGACATATGCATGATTTCAGACGCTCAGCTTCCCGCTCACATTTGTCGATATGGCTTGCCTTCTGCGGCCTGGCCGTGATCGGTCCAGAGGTGGCAGCGCAAAGCCT